AGGTACTACCAGGTCACAAACATCTGAAATGTGAGCTGCTTTTAGTAAGGGGTTACTTACCATAAAGGCTGGGTACAACTGCTTTAATCTTTAACAATGTATTGTATTATATAAGCTCCTCACATTTTTTAAAATGTGAGGCGCTTATACGTATAGTGTAAAATCTTACACTGAAAAGTACCTTGTGATTAAATAAACTAAACAAATGTAGTGGAGGATAAAGTGCATGATATGAAGTAGCAGAAAATGAAAACACAGTTGTAGTACAGCGCCTCTTAACTGAACTTGAGTATTATTTGAGTAAATGTCCACCAGTGAGCACTTACATGTCCGAGGAAGACAGAGGAATATGCATTAAGGCTCAGTGGTAAAAATAATTAGGCTGGGTCTGATCTCCCAGTGAGAATCAAAGAAGTCTATCTTAAGAGAAAAGCACAAACACATAGTGAAGCAACTGCACAATGTTGCCTCTTAATAACTAAATGATGACCCATCAACATGCATTTTACTAGAATCTCAATTCATCCACTGTATCATATAATGTAATGAGTGTTAAGGGCGGTATGAACAGGCAGATGTCTGAAAGTGCTAATTGGGTATTTTTTTCCCTCCATTCCAGGTGCCTGTGTGCAATCTGAAGCATGGCAACATTCCCAGTGGTAAACAGTGACCCACTTGTCTAGCATCGCCTTTTTTCTCTTTAATTTAACACAGTGCCACTATTTATAGTCAAAATATTATGTTGAAACAGTGAACACAACTGGAAGATGGAGTTTATTGGCTTGTGGTAGGTGGAGCTCAGAAACATCAAGTGGAAGTGCAATGGTGCTGCCGGGAGTTGCTTTAGGTTTTGGAAAATAAATGGCAGCATACGGGGGGATTGTCACCAATCCTGGTATGTGTCTGTTGTCCACTGTCCAACTTGTACATACGGGCCTCCCACATCAGCCAGTATCTCCCTCAGATACTGGCTGATGTGGCTGATACTTGTCTCATCCCTCAAATTGTCCATTTGTCGACATGTATACAAAAGCCCTGCAAACACAGTGGGTAGAGCAGTTGTCTCCCAACTGGAAGGTTGAAGGTTTGAATCTCGGTGCCTGCAGTCCACATGTCAAAGTGTCGTCCCCTCCCCATTGCCCCCGATGGTTAAAGCCATCGGTTGAGTTGGCGCCGCAGATGGCTGCCATTGGTTCCGTACCGGAAACAAATTCCTTGTGTGTAACATACTTGGCCAATAAAGGTGATTATCCTTATCCTTTCACTAGCAAAGACCACACTGCTACATGCGCTTGAATTTTTAAAGAAGTACGTATTACAAATGGCGATGATAAGTAATGGAAGTTAAGATGGAAGTTGTTCATTTAGCTGGTTTGGGACATTGTGCCAGCTGGGAAGAAGGGGACTCAGTGTGGGGGTTCCCTCTGTGGAGTTGGTTTCCTGCCCAAGCCAATTAGGAACCCAGACGTGCCTGCAAATTAGACAGGAGGTATAGAAAGGAAGGAAGGGAATGGGGATGAATGGATAAGAGGGAGTGAGAGGGTGGGGAATGAGAGCCAGGCAGGGGTGTGACAATACACTTAGATCATGAGATGAGACCATACATGATATTGGGCTCACAAGAACGAGACAAGATGATATTTCAGAGCTATATTTAAGAAATCTTCAATGATGAAATATATGATTGGGGAAAAAATGGTCTTTTATCCAACTGAAAAGTCAGAAAATGCAAAACAATGCAGGTGCATTTTGAAATGTTTAACTAATCATCTTGTAAATAATGTCACTTCACTTCTACTTTCTGATTAGGAACAATCATACGCAGTAAAATATGCGAGCACTGTAATACGTTTTGCCACAAACTCAACTGACTGGCTCCTCTCCTGTATGATTTCACATGAGCCTCTTCAGACGTTATAACTGTTAAAATGGTGTTGCTTATTGTGGAGCTCTGAAGATTTATGACAGCATGGCCTGACACCTGCCCTCTCTGGGGCCAAATAATGGGTAAACATCATTTAACTTGTAAACTGAGCTTCCATATGAATGCTCTTCCATTCTTTGGCACATTTAATTGTGTATTATTGACTGTACATGAACTATGCATGAGCGTCTAACTTCTAACTGAAGCTGTGTGTGACCTTCTAACTGAACTCATTTTCACAAACTAAACATTAAAAATAAAAACAGTATAAATACCAAAAATGAATTACACACTTTTTCTTAGACTTATTTTTTTCAGTGCAAACAATCAGTGCAACTATAATCCAAGTAGTACTCTCTTGATACCCAGTGTGCGAACAGAGACTGACCAAATTTTTCTTTCTCTCGTCATTGACTGTGGAAGTTGAGATGTGAAGGCATTTGGCAGCGTTGCCTGGCCTTTGTCCACAGGCACGGCTGATTTTTGTCCAGAATTGTGGTGGTTCTCTAGGTGTCTTTGCATAGTGTTCGTGTTAGCCGTGGTGGACGGCACTATTTTCTTACAGTGCTTACATATTGTTCGTGTCTTGCCTATCACTCTTTTGCCATTTATTGTTTCTACCAGTTGCCCAAAACTCTGCCACACAAACGATTTAAAAGTGGTGGAGGCATCATGCTGGTTGCTGCTCTGGTTCTGTTATGTACTGATATCACAAGACAGCTTTTCACCTCGACAATAAATATTGTCTCGTTTTAATATTACGTGACCCCTAGACCAGGTATTGGGTATACTTGACAGGTAATTAGCAGTAGCTCTCAAACTAATGGACGTCATATTGTTCAGTTTTTGTTGAAACGGTTTCTGATATTTTCTTTGCATTGGACAAAATAATGAAGAGACCTCATGGTATAATAAAACACAATTCAACAGCAACACAAACTATAGCCTGAGCAGGAAATTGAAAGTTTTGGATGAGTGAATGTCCTTATTGGTTGCCTTTCACACTGTGAAATCTTTTTAATGCTCTCTCTTATTCTAACATCTCACTGTGCTCTCTGAGCTTCAGCACCACTAGCATGGCTAAAAATCCTGTGTATGAAAACCCAACCTTGACCTCCACTTTAATGACGCTGTGTCCCTGTCACTTTCTTCACAGCTCCACCTTCATTTACAGCAACGCCACCACAATATGTGGAGGCAAAGGAAGGGGGGAGCACTCTGCTTAGCTGCTCTGCCCAGGGAAATCCAAAACCAATGATCAGCTGGCTGAGGGAAGGGGAGGAACTTGCAACCAACGCAAAATATTCGGTAGGCAAAAAATAAAGGCCCTAATTCTGACTTATGATTATGTTCAAAAATAGAAGCAGGGTGTGTGCACAGATGGTGTCTTCCACTGAGTCCATCTGCACTGAAAGTATATTATGGACCATATCTCACTCAGGCTAATATCTGTTTATTGTGTTGCTATGCTGCAGAAGTATCTTTTTTTGTAATAAACTCTAGTGAAGCTCATTTTGACTAATGATAATGTGTTTGTTTATGATTATAATGGTGGATGTCAATGAACTGGACTGTTAATCAGTGCAGAGGTAAGTGAAATGGTGCAAAGAACATGATAGTACCAGTGCTCGTGAGTGTACTTGTGTTTACCGGAAGGACACTGCGCATGAAGTGGGCGTGAAAGTGGTACTGGCCAACTGCCGGGGGGCAAGGTTTAGGAATTTTTATTCAGAAATAGGTTTTTTTTCTGGAGGTTGGGGGGTAAACTGTGATTTTTTTTTTTTGTTGCCCAGGGCTGTAGAGGATCGTCTCTTCTGGGAATGTGTGGTTCTTTCAGGTATCGCTGCACCTCCACAGCAGCATCTGCTGTCACACTGTGATTCTTCCTGCTGCGGTCCATGCTGGCATCAAAGTGGCACCATAGATTTTTACCCACAAAATGTAGTCAAAAGCCTCAGTTAGTAAATACAGTAATAAACTTAAAAGGTGTGCAAGTGATACAACATTTACAAAACAGGTACAATAAAAACAAACCAGAGGAAGATGTAGGTCCCATATTTGGAATGTTTGATGATGGTGTTGGGGAGAAGCAGGAGGATGATGAACACGATGGTACTGGTTCAGAGGTTCTGATAATGGTGGCACACTCCACTCTTAGCCTTATTACAGCCTCTGAATCCCTATGATGGCTCAAAAACCCAAGGTCTTAAACCTCAACTTTGGAGAGCCTCTCTCTTGATAACCTTATAAGGTTCTCAGCCAACTGGAGACTTGTTGCTGTGCTCAAGGTTGCCATATCTTCCTGTACTGACTGGTCAAGCATTTTTACAAGAGGGATGACATTAGATCCAAAAACCCTTGTGTCCTCTGATTATTCAGTGGTTGCATGATTGAAACTTGACAACAATTCAATTCAATTTTATTTGTATAGCGCCAAATCACAACGAAAATCATCTCAGGACACTTTACAAAGGTCTAGATCTTACTATTATTATTATTATAGAGGAAAACCCAACAAACTCCCTGAAGCCCTCGTCCTCTACTGTTGTAAATGGTTGTGAATCTTTCACAACCTCATCCAGAGCTTGCTTTCTTGATACTATGACAAAGCACACAAAAAAGTTGTATTTATGTATTTACCTATTTGCTTTTAGGACAGAATTAAGAAAGATTTGATTTCATAATATCTACAATGGTCAGTGCTGGTTTGACTGTGATATCTAGGTTTTCAGCGTAAGGCTCTATAACGGTGCAACATGGAAGAGGTGTAGTTGTAATGCATCAACTCCTTGGAACATGACAGGCACCTTACCTTTGGAACAGAATAACAGTTTTTCATGAGAAGGACCTCAATGACCAGGTGGCGTCCTAATACACCAAGCAAACATTAATAAATTAATTATGATGTCAAGATAATAATTAATGTGCCCATACCTTGTTTGGTGAAATCAAATCAAAATGTCCCCAAACTTGGGAAGTCTTATATTTAGGTGTTTGCTCCATCACAACACAGTGCATGTCACAGTGAGCTGTGTATTGCTTCTGACTATGTAAAGGTTTGGGAAGTGTCAGAACACTCCCCTGACCCAAATGGGGGGGACATTTCCCAGGTGAAGCTTCACATGTCATCTGATGCAATCATCTCTCCTTGTTGCAAGCATCAGCACAGGGCTTCACTGAAAAGCGGTCAGTGTGCAGTCTCGGTATCAGGCATAACATCACTAATAAAACCTGTGTCAGTGGGTCACTACATGCTTTGGCCTTTAAAATTTGTGGTGCTGAGACTTGAGTGTTGGAATATGGTAAGAATAGTGAGACAATCCTTTGTACATTGGGATGTACAGGTGCATCTCAATAAATTAGAATATCGTGAAAAAGTCCATTTATTTCAGTAATTCAACTCAAATAGTGAAACTCGTGTATTATATAAATTCAGCACACACAGACTGAAGTAGTTTAAGCCCTTGGGTCTTTTAATTGTGATGATTTTGGCCCACATTTAACAAAACCCCACCAATTCACTATCTCAATAAATTAGAATATGGTGACCAGCCACTCAGCTAGTCAAC